AGTATTTTTTTGAACTTATTGTCTTACTTTATTATTTCTTATGGTAATATTTTGAAAAAAAAAAAAATGTAGTTATTAAAAATATTAAGTGTTTTGTACCAATTTAAGTGTAAACTATAGATATTAAAATACGATATTGAATGCATAAATATTTGAATATAAGATGTGTAAGATTTAAAAATGTACTTAACTAATTTATTTTATTTTTTTATTTGTTGTTTGTTGTATTGCAATAATATAGCTTCAGATACCCATCTACTTTTTAGTTTTAACTTAAATACTAAACTTAGTTTAATATAAAATGCATAAATAAAGTTATCATTAAACTGATGCATATAATAAATTACCAAAGATAATTCTGAAAGAGTAGGTAGTGTGAGTAATGTCGTGTTGAACAAATATCTTTCTATACTGTAATGTTTTTTTATTTTATTTTACAATTGTATACGTCATATGGATTTTATTTTTTGTAATTATATTGAAATACATTTACTTATAATATAAAAAAAAAAAACTATACATTTCTAATTTCTATGGGTACTTTTAGTTTCAGAATATTTTTGAAAATTCAAAGTTTTAATTTTTGAGTTTTTGTCTTTTTATCAGTAACTATATTTWCTGTACCTTAATAAATAATAATTTAATATCCACATGTTAAGTWTATAGTTGGTACATATAATTAAACTAATTCAACGAAGATGAAAAAAAAAAACCACTAAACTTAATCATCTGTATTAAAATATAAATATTTCRACCATGTTCAAACATTCTAATATTATACTTACATTATCGTAAATGATATTATTGTGTTGACATTTTTTTTTGTGATACTCATTTGGTAGTCTATATGAAAAAAAATTGTATTATAATTTTCTAGGTGCCAATTAACAGATATAAAACTATATTATCATTATTGTAATGGCGTGTCTGTGTGTGTTTAGTTATTTGGTTTTGTTCTCAAATATTTATGCTTTATCATGAAATCTTGGACTACGCACTTCCAAACACATGCACAATAATTAAGTATAAGATTAACATACCTAAATCATTTGAATAATTTTAGCTCTCAAAATACTGAGGACTCACATAACCTTAGACGGCGCTATCATCGATCATATTTATTGTTGTATTAACGCCAATCAGTAGTTTTGGAGGTGTACACAATTTTCATATTATAGTCTGTGTCTCTTAGGATAAAAATATCAGTATCACATATTAGGTACATATCTGAATCATATAAACATTCATCTGTAATAATACATATTTATATTCCACAAGCATAACGAATACATTACTGATTAATTTTATGAAATCGCGATAAATATACGTGAAGTTTTGAAAAACAAATCATTTACGATTTGAGTATATAAGCTAAACAACGATGCTCATTATATTGTATTATTCAGCAGTTATATTAAATACAAAATGAAGACTTCAATAATTGTGTTTACTTTGGCATTARCTTTTTTGGCTAAGGTAAGAAATATTTTTCAATCCTAACGCACCYATCTGAATATTATCTAATTATTATTTTGTTAACWAGGTTGAAGCAAATCATTGTGGCGGATTACCTTGCCTTCCAGATCCTTATCTAGATTATTTAGCGTCACTACTACCGCCAGCAYCATCATGCCAACTTCCGCTTCCTCTTCCAGTCTCACCTCCATGTTTCCCGCCTCCAAAGTTGATACCAGTACCACTATCACCTTTACCTTGTTTCTCCATCCCACCATTATGTCCAACATGCCCACTCCCTTGTTTACCACCACTACCACCATACTTCCTGCCACCAACATCACTTCCACTTCCAATTGCTCTTCCTCTTCCAGTCTTACCTCCATGTGTTCCTCCCCCAAAATTGATACCCGTACCACTATCGCCTTTCCCTTGTTTCTCTAATCCACCATTATGTCCAGCATGTCCACCACCAAGYCCACTCTCCTGTTTACCACCACTACCATCATGCTTCCTGCCATCACCACCACCACCACTTCCTCTTCCAGTCTTACCACCATGTGTTCCGCCTCCAAAATTGATACCAGTACCAATATCCCCTTTACCTTGTTTCTCCATTTCACCATTATGTCAACCYTGTGCACCTTGTCCACCACCTCCTTGCTTCTATTAATACGAAATGACCTTAGTTTTKAATTCCAATCATACTATAACTGTTTGATATGATGATATCATTTTATATCCACCTATATTTAACAAAAACTGGACAATACAATAACAAACCAAAAATACCGTTATAGATATGTACCTTCATGTTAGTTATAATATAAAAATGTAAACAATTTTAATCAATTTAAGAAATGTATAAGGGTCACCTGATATTTTATTGTTTCTCTTTTGTGTGCCATTTATATCTTATCATTGATAAATCGTATGTTATATAATGTTGTACAATTTTATAAATATAAAATTATACTCTACACGACTTGTTGATAATTATTCAGTTAATAATATAATCATATCTTGTAATATCATGTAGGTATGTACAACTTAGTAATATAATTGTAATGTCTTACATTTGAAGTTATAAAGCTACTATACACGGAGTGCACGCAGTGTATACTATACCCACCCAATGGTTTATTCTTAAATTTCCACTTGTAATACCTACAGTATTTTATTTTTAGTGATTGAAGAATGAAACGTATAAAAAAACATATAAAATATATGACATTTTGTGTTAAATGAAACTTAATCCATTAATTCAAAAATCCCGAGTATAGAACTATTTAGGTACATATTATATGCTCAGGCTACTGTTATAAGCATATCATATATTGTTATAACGTCTAACAATGAATAATTACTTTGAATCATCGTAAGGTTAAATAGGTATTTGTGTGAGGTATTATCATTCATTCCTCGATTTCTATCAATTATTTCTAAACCTCAAAGTA